CCACCACTACCGAACTGTAGGCAAGCTGATTGGTTTGTTTGATAAATGTTATCTTAATCTGTGCAAGCACCTTATTCATTTCTTCCTTATAGGTGCCAGATCTTTTTTGGCCACAAACTTTCAATGCTGGCAATGTTTGTCTACTGGCAGTTTTGCATAATCTTCTCTTTTAATTCTTCTTGTTGGTGGGTCAGTTTCAGTATTAACCTGTACTTGTTCTGTTGTTATTTCTTCTAAATTATCATTTGTGTAATTCATATCAGTTGTTTCATTTATATTTCCAATTGCTATTGTGAGCTATTATTCTACTATTATTGGGGTCTTGTTTTTTGGTTAATCATTGTTCAGTGATAATTGAATATGGGTCAATTATTTTCTGATGTTCAAAAATTTGTTTTCAGTAGTTCTGTTTTGTTGTCCAATTTATTATTATTATATTAAACTTGTATTAGTACTTACTTATTAGTACTTATTAGTACTTATACTGCCATGGGTTGCTTACAACAATGAAAGAAGAGTAACATTGCAGTAACATCAGTAAAAGATAGGAAGGACAACAGACCAGATGACATGAAGCTACACAAGATCAGGTCACTATTCAAAGCCCTGAGGAAGAGTAAGGTCTTCACCATTCTTCTGAGCAACAGATTGGGGGCCCTTTGGATCTTGGGACAAACTTTATTCTAGAGGGTAGTTACTGCTAAAGAGAAGGCTTGCTTCTGGAGTCTTCTTAGTGATATTATTTAATTGAAGGAATTTGGAGTGTGCCAACCCTGCAAAATTGAAGTGGTCTGTCTACCACAGGAGTGTCAAACTCAAGGCCCACGGACCAGATCCGGCCTGCGGGGTGCTTAGTTCTGACCCGCAGGCCCACCCTGGAAACAGCAAAGGACCAGCCCATGGTGCTTCAGGCGGCCCTCCCGAGCTCCGTTTTCACTGGCAGAGAGTTGCAGGAAGCAGTCACAGCCAAAAATGGAACTCAGGAGCCCATTTTCACTGGCAGAGCTCTTGGACCACCACAGGTGCCCCTGACATGAATGACATTGAGCTGGCCACGCCCACCTTGGCTTCCCAAGGTCAACCCTGATGCGGCCCTCAGTGAAATCGAATTTGACACACCTGGTCTAGCAGATACTTTAGGACCGTGGTGGCGAACCTATGGCACACGTGCCACAGGTGGCACGCATAGCCATATCAGTGGGCATACCAGCTCAGCTCTGGTGTGCATGCGTGCGCCGGCCAGCTGATTTTCGGGCCTTCTGGGCCCACCAGAAGTAGGAAAACAGGCTGTTTTCTGCCTCTGGAGGCTGGGGACAGCAAAAAAAGTCACTTCCTGTCCCACCAGAAGTTGGGAAATGGGCCCTTTCAGACCTCCGGAGGGTCTTCGAGGGAGTGGGAAAGGCTGTTTTTGCCCTCCACAGATGCATAGAGAGGATCTGGAGAAATCTTTCTCCAGGTAAGAAAGAAAAACGGGCCTACCAGGCCATCGCATGCCAGAAGCGGGGGGAGTGGGGTTGCACAGGGCAGGACACATAGAATTATGGGTGTGGGCATGCGCACGCGCAAACCTCCCCCCACCCATCCCCCTCTCCTGGCACGCAATGCAAAATGGTTAGCCATTACTGCTCTAGGAGTTTGTTTAGACTATGGCACGTGTTAGCCAGGGATCACCGAAGTGGCTGCCTGCCTCTGTGAAAGGAATTTTTTTCGGGTGCTGTTATCTTACCCATGGGATGCCTGAATGCCAGTAGGCACTCGTGGGAGGCTCCTTTCCTGTCCCTAGGTCAGTGGTTCTCAACCTTCCTAATGCCGCGACCCTTTAATACAGTTCCTCATGTTGTGATGACCCCCAACCAGGGGTGGGTTCTAAATTTTTTTACTACCGGTTCTGTGGGCATGGCTTATTTTGTGGGCGTGGCTTGGAGGTCATGTGACTGGGTGGGCGTGGCTAGCTGGTCATGTGACCGGGTGGCCATGGCTATGTATATAGGGACTACTCCGAGGGCTGAAAAAAGTCATTTCTGACAGGTCCTCGCACTTTTGACTGGTCCTCACACTTATGACCATCCTCACATTTATGCCTGTGCAGCATTCTTAACAACCATGTCACTCATTTCACAACTGCTTCTTTTCACCATGGTGATAAGATAGGGCAAAAAACGTAAAATGTGAGGATAGTCGTAAATTCGAGATCTGGTCAAAAGTGCGAGGACCAGTCAAAAATAACTTTTTCAGCCCTCTGAGTAGTCCATGTGCACAAAAGGACTACCCAGAGGGCTGAAAAAAGTGATTTCTGACAGGTCCTCACACTTTTGACCGGTCTTCGCACTTACGACTGGTCATCATTTATGCCCATTGTAGCATTCTTAACAACCATGTCACTCATTTCACAACTGCTTCTCTTCAACATGGTGACAAGATAGGGCAAAAACGTAAAATGTGAGGACAGTCGTAAGTTCGAGGTCTGGTCAAAAGTGCGAGGACCAGTCAGAAATAATTTTTTCAGCCCTCTGAGTAGTCCATATGCATAAAAGGATACAGCAATAGAAAGAGATGAAGGAAGGGAAGGGAAATTAGAGTAGGAGTGGGGGTAAGCGAGGGAGGAAGAGAGGAGGAGAAGGAGAAAGGAAGAAGTAGGGAGGAGAAGAAGAGGGGGAGGAAGAGAAAGTAAGAAGGAAAGAAAAGAGAGAGGTGGTAGGTTTGAGGAGAAAGATTGCTGTACAATAAAAAAGATGAAAGGGAAGAAAGCCAACCCCAAACAAATATAAAGATATTAAGATAAAGAATGAATTGTTAAACTTTAAAGAATAAAAGAGAACAAATATGAATAAATAACAATAATTAGAAACACACATACAAACATACAATGTATTTTCTTTGAACAGATTATTTGGCCGGTTCACAAATTTAAACAGTGTTTAGTCATTTCAATTAAATTTACAATTTCTATTTGCCATATTTATTCCTCATCTATTTTTCTAAAAAAACAATATTACCCTTCATCCTCATCTCTAATCTTAATCAAATTCAATTTTTCCCTTCTATTCTATATTATACCCCTTCCCATTGTCATCTATTTTTATATCCATCCTCACATTGGTTAATTATGTAATATTACAGTTGTCTAATATAAATTCAACATTTTAATATAAATCAATTAGTTATATAACTACCTTTTTTGTATATTAATCAATATGAACATGAATATTCCAATTATTTCCATGCAATCCAATTTCTTACAAATCAGTTAATTACATTTACCAATAATAATAAACCAAATAATTTCCCCCATATATTCCTCCAAACCACAACTTAACCATTTCTGCTTTCAACACAATATACAATTAATAGTATCTCAATTATTAGAATTCCCTAGTTAAATAGAGCTTTTTTTCTTTTGTGTTTTAAAATCTTGAACTCTCCACTTTTTCCCTAAATTTTCCATTGTTTGCACCTACCTTTTTTGGTGAGGTAAAAGAAAAGAAATCTGCCTGCCTGGTTTTCCAACGTTGTAGCAACAGCAAAGCCAAAAGCCTGCTTTACTTTCAGTTTCGTTTTTCAGCATAGCTAGGGGGGGGGGAAATTGCTCCAGCACTCTTTGCAAACAAGCAGCAGAGCCCTGAGCAAAACAGCTGAGAGCAAATCAGCTGAGAGTCGGGAGCCAATCTAATCAAGGGCTAATTAGCCTATGCTGAAGCTCCGCGGGCCAATAAAATTACAAAAAAACACCGAACCATTTGTTAAATTGCTGGCTCACCCGCCCCTCGCCCACCACTATTTATTGGCAATAAATAATGGTGCGGAGGGACGGGGCGGGGTGGAACCGGCAGAATCCCACCACTGGCTATAGGGCAGCCCTTTGAAGCCCCGCGGCAAGAATTTAAACAGTTTTTTTTTCCTCTAGCCATCAGCTGGGACTCAGGAGGCAGCAATAGATTGGGAGTGGGCGGGGTAAGTGAACTGCCGGCGATCCAACAGAGCAGAGAGTGAGGGTGAGTGAAGGCGTGGGGGGGGGCAAGAGAGGGCTTTGGCGACCCCTGTGAAATGGCCGTTCAACCCCCAAAGGGCTTGCGACCCCCAGGTTGAGAACCGCTGCCGTAGGTGGTTTATTCGCTCACGGGAATCGAACCGCCGAGCTGCCGACCTCAGCGGAGCGTCTTACCACATGAGCCACCATGGCCCCAGTAGGGGTTACCGGTATATGCAATGTATCAAAATACTCAGGATATTTTGGTAAAATCACAGATTTAATTTAAAATGGAAATTTGATAGAAAAATAAGACATTATATTCTGACTTTTAGAATAGAGTGGGGTTCTTTTTCAAAATAGTAAAATCTGTTTCCTCACATGAGATCATGGCCATTTTTCTTATTTCTTTAATTTTAATTTAAAAATGTGTTGATGCCTACTGCCTCTTAAACAGTGAAAAGCTACTTTTGGAAAGTAGCTGATATTCTACCAGTGCTATCTAAGCAAATTGATTAATAGAATGGTACGTTGTTGAAACAAGAAACAACTTGGATTTCTGCTTTATTTTCTAATAAAGTAGACATATTTAAAAGTAGATTGATTTAATCTTGATATGTCATTTGAACGATGCATTTGTATAAATACAGCCCCATGTTTGGTTTTTTTTTTAATATAATAATTTGTTCTGGAGAATATATTTTTTTATGTAGGTCCTAAATTGAGACTTATCAATTTAGTGTGCTGTAATAACAAAGATCTTATTAGTTTATTTATTATATTTATCACATTTTGAAACCATCCATCTGCTCACAGAGTGACATTTGCCGTATTATTAAAGATTTCAAATGAATTCTGAGAAATATTTTAAAGATTGCAAAATTATATTGTTAAAGTCTGATTCATAAAGTTATTCTGTGTATCTTACCGTGTGTGACTTTTGATTATTTTAAAATTTGCTGTTGACCTGCCTCTTCTGAAAGTTCATGTATATGTGACTGTATATACTGTTAATACGATCACAGCAGTCTTTACATGTTTCCCCTTTATTCATAGGCTCCTGGAGCTACTTTTGAAAAGCATGGAGAACATCTTCCTCGGGGAGAAGGCCGGTTTGGTGTAAGCCGAAGACGCCACAACTCTTCCGATGGTTTCTTTAATAATGGTCCCCTCAGAACTGCTGGAGGTATGATGCTCACTGCTGGATAAGTAAATAGCACTGGAGAAAAAATAGGCTTGAACTTCAGCTGGTGTTCCCCCTTTCCCCACAATTTTGTGGCTTCCTATCCTCCAGTTTTGAACTCCAGTAGTTTGATACTCTTAATATCAATGATTTGATTGAATATCAGTTTATTAGTAAGGAGATGCTCCTATAATGAGATTATATTGGTGTATCTAATCTTTTGCAGAAGGTCTTGTATATTGTGGCATTTTTTCAAATGATAACTAGCTTTGTTTATGTAACTACTTCATATCTTATCCAGACTGTTGGCATCAGCCTTCCCTGCACCGCCATGATTCTGTGGATTCTGGTGTTTCTAAAGGAACTCATGTTGGACTAGCTGGCAGTCAGCCAGGTTGGCATGGTTCTTCACGTGGCCATGATGGCATGAGTCAGAGAGGAGGAGGAACTGGATCTCATCGCCATTGGAATGGCAATTTCCACTCCCGAAAGAATTCAGCTTTTCAGGAAAAGCCAACTGCTGAAGCTAGGGAGGAGAAGGAAGAGAAGGAGAAATTGCAGTTTGAGGAGGAAGATTTTGTAAGTAAACTCTGAATAAAATTAAGATGTTCCTTAAATATACTATGTTTCCTGGAGATTGATATAAATATCAATTTGTATCCATGAGTTTATCATCTTTGGTCTTGGATGGGTTGCACCAAACAGATCCTGTGCAGGGTTCTCGTGGACACAAGGCTCCTGTTTAAAGAGCAGCTGGTAGCCATGGCTAGGAAGACCTTTGCTCAGCTTCATGTTGTGGTCCAGTTATGCCCTTCCTGAATAGGGAGGCTCTCCACTCAAGTCACTCATGCCCTGGTCATCTACTGATTGGACCATTGCAATGCACTCCACATGGGGCTGGGCTACCCTAGAGAACTGTCTGGAACCTTCAGTTGGTACAAAATGCAACCATGTGGGTGGTTTTGGGTACCCAAAGTAGGGTTGCTGAGGAAAGAAAAAGAAGGTTGAAATTATAAGTTTTACTAACTTCATATCAAGGGAGAAAAACCTGCTATCCAGATAATAGTAGAAGGGGTCAGGACTTTGTTTATTTTTCCAGCAAAGGTGGAGAGACTTCATGTTTCTAAAAATGATAAGGACATATTATAGAGTATGCTATAGTTACCATACATTTCCTGCTTATAGGAATCAGTTTCGGTAATTTTGCAGACTTAGAGGGGCTTCAGGTACCAAAGATTTCTTCCCCTCATTATGCACCAAGTTGTCACCAGGCTTCAAAGTATTTATAATTGTTTCTTATGGTTTTAATGTGCAACACTTTTCTCCTGTCAGAATGCATTATAAAACAAATACTAGATTCTAAGTAGGTAAATTGTCAGAATGTTAATATACCTAATGTTGGGTCAAATGCTTATTTCTAGCTAGGAAATTTAATGAAATTGAAACTCTAACAAAACATGAAATGTGTTTGACATTTTGGTGTGCTTCTTACAGCCATCATTGAATCCAGAAGCTGGAAAACAGCACAGCCAGGGTAAACCAGCTGGAACTCCATCTGGTGTTTGGGGTAAGTACTGAGGCATTGGGAGAGAAGTATTTTCTGTAGTTGTAGAAATAGTCTAATCTTTTTCTATTTACTCAGTTTATAAAAATAACCAAGTAAGTTTTTCTTCTCTGTGTTGTGTTATATTAGAAATTATATTTTAGTAATAAACTATAAAGAGGCTTGCCTATTTTTAGGAATGGTAGAATACTGTGCAGAAACTAGATATGGGTACATCATCCCATTTCTCCCCAGATTGGCATTAGTATTAGCATTGATTCATAAACCTCAAGACATTTATGCACAGTCAAAAAATGCATGAAGAACCTAAGCACCAGAAAACTGCTTTTAAATATCATACTAATTTAGTTGATGTTAGATAATGTAAATAAGTCCCATACATTGCAGAATTTAAAGACGGCCATATCAGGAGAACTGTAGAAAATCATGTTACTTAAGAAAGGTCAATGTAAAGTTTTTCATACTTAATACATATAATTCTGCCCATTCAAGAAATGAAATTCTTGTGACCTTCATGTAGAAGATCATATAGTATCATAAAGATTTTTCTCTGCTGTCCAAAATGTTGACATAAAAATCATCAGGTACATAGTATAAGAGAGAGCTACAATAGCATCTTTGAATAGCTGCATGATTCTTGATTCAATCAGAAGTGACTGTGCCTCAAAAATGTGAAGTGCCAAAAAATACTATTTTTTTCTAATTGTATAAATCCAATATTCCAAAAAACATTGTATTTAGCTCTTCCCAAAAATGTACTCCTAATGAATTAGGCTCAGTAGTATTCAGGTATATATTTTCTTAGTAGATTGTGGAACCTTACTCTCTTGAGCATGCTTAATGTGCTTGAGATTCCCTTTAACAATTCCAAAATGCTTTCCTGAAGATGTATTTTATGTCTACTTCCATAATTCCCAGGCTCATAAAGTCTAGTACATTAAAATGCTTTCTATACAAAGAGGAATTGATTTGATATAATACTTAATGCCAGTTGAAGGGTTTACTATGAATTATTTTTTTATTAGCCAACAAAGAAATCTAATCCAACCTATGATCAGTCTGTCACGTTTTATTCAATTTATCAGCATGAGCATTAACAGTTCATATAATTCAAATGTTTGCTTTAGTCACAGAATGTGAGGAACATAAGAAATGTGCATATTTCTATCTTCTAAGACAGGGGTCGGCAACCTGCGGCTCCGGAGCCGCATGCGGCTCTTTGGGCCCTCTGCCGCAGCTCCCTGTCCCATCACTGGTTGGCCCCGCCCCTCGCCCCTCATTTCTTTTTTGGACTCCAGCCCAAAGCAGCAGGAAGCAAAGGCTGCCTTATGCACAAATGTGGTGCGAAGGCAGGTACAGGGCAGCCTCACTCCTGCACTCTCCCCCCCGAGCCGGGAGCGTGCGCACGTGCCAGGAGACCCTCCTCAAGCGAGTGCCAAAGCACAGCAAAGGTCCATGTGGGGTGGGTGGCCACTCGCTTAGTAGGGTCTTAGCAGGACACGGCTTCTCTCCTGCACTCCTCCTCCCACTCTCATGATGCCCTGGCTGTGGCTGAGCCGGGAGCATGTGCATGTGCGGGGAGACCCTCCTCAAGCAAGCGCCGAAGCTCAGGAAAGGTTTGCGTGGGGTGGGCAGTGGCTTGCTTAAGGAGGTCTCCCCATGCGTGCGCATGCTCCCGGCTCAGCCACAGCCGGCCAGGGCGTTAAAAGAGTAGGATGAGGAGGAAAGTGCAGGAGCGAAGGAGTACCTGCCTTCGTGTCACATTTGCACGTGAGGCAGCCTTCGCTTTCTGCCGCTTCGGGCTGGAGTTCGCACCTTGTGCACTTGGCTGAAGAGCTGCCGGCGGTGGGGGATGCAATGGCAAGGTGATGACCGGAACATTAGTGCAGGAGAGAAGCCACGTCCTGTTAAGACCCTCCTAAGCGAGCGGCCACCCATCCCATGTGTGCCTTTGCTGCACTTTGGCACTCGCTTGAGGAGGATCTCCCCATGCATGCGCATGCTCCCGGCTCAGCCACAGCAGGCCAGGGCATCACGAGAGGAGTGGGGAGGAGGAGGACAGCCACCCGAAGGGAGGGGGGGACACACACACACACACATACAGAGAGAGTGGGGGAGGGAGAGAGAGAGAGAAACACAGAGTGATACATAGAGAGGGGTGAGAGAGGGGAAGAGGGAGAGATAGAGGGAGAGAGACAACAATGGTTTGGTGGCTGGGTAGGCGTGGCTGGGGGGTCATGTGACTGGGTGGGAGGGAGTGACATTGAGTTGGCCACGCCCACCCAGGTTTTGTGGGTCCGGTGTGTTTTTTTTTTTGTGAGAAACAGGTCCAAGTGGCTCTTTGAGTGTTTAAGGTTGCCGACCCTTGATCTAGTGGGAGCAAGAAAGCTGGCCTTTTCTGTAACTGTACCTGACTCTAAAACACCATACTCCTCAAGGCTTGGCTAGGCTCAACTCTGCTCACATGGCTATATTATTGAGCATGGGGCCTGGAAGTGTAGTTGAGCCCACATTAGAGAATGGTGTTCTTGAGAGCCACTTTATATGTTTTTATTTATTTATGGTGACTATCTGGATGCATATATACAGGTAGTCCTCACGTAACGATAATTGGGGCCAGAATTTCTGTCACTAAATAACAATCATAAAGTCTAATGTCACGTCATTTACCGATGGCATTTCCAATTTCTGTTAAGGAAGTCCCGCATCAACATTAAGCACATTAATCGTTTTAGCAACAGGTTACATGATCACCATTCACTCCCTGTTGGTGGCTCCTCTACTGATTTTGCTTCCAGGAAGCCAGCAGTGAAAATTGTAACGAAATCATGTGAGTGTAGAATACTGTGAGTGTCCTAATTACAAGAACCAGTCAAAATACTATCTCAGCACTGTCGTAAGTTAGCTGAATGAGTAGTTAAGTGAGGAGCATAGATAGTATTTATATTCTTGTTAATCACCCAGAGTTCCATTTGTGGGATGGGTGACTATATATCACTCTAATTCAAAATATTCTTGCTGATAAGCTCACTTGTTTTATTTAACAATTAAAAATAAACTGTCTTACAAAATAATTAGTTTGTAACAGGAACTCCAGGGAATACCCAAAAACTAGTATCTCAGTTCTCTTTATATTTATTTCAATTCAGTTCTTTGCAGCTGTAAAGTCACCCAGAGGGTTTTTATGTCTAAGGAAGGATTGTATGGTCTCCTGTTTTCTAATCCATTATCTTAGCCACTACACAGCTGGCCTTCTGATGAATATACTGTATACTTGATACAGTATAGCTGATATTTGAAAAACACTAAAATTCTCTATATATATTTATTTTGTTTATATCCCACCTTTATTATTCTTTACAAACAAGTAGTGAATATATCCAACACATTTTCCTCCTGTTTTCCCCACAACAACCACCTTGTAAGATGAGTTGGGCTGAGAGAGAGTAACCAGCCCAAGGTCACCCAGCTGGCTTTCATAGTGAAGGCGGGACTAGAACTCAATGTCCTGCTCTCTAGTCTGGTGCCTTACAACTAGTCCAAACTGGTTGTCATATAGTGTAGTAGATGGTGCTAGTTTACCGGCTAATTTCCAAGTGTCTGATTATCACATATTACATGACTTAGAGTTTCATACATATTTAAGATTATAAACACCATTAAATACAAATATACGTCTAAATAAATCTTTATTTGATTGTATCATTGAACATACATCCAACAAATGCCTAAAGCAGCTTAAGACTTACTTCATTCAGATTTGGAAAATTAGGTATATTTCATTATATTGACCAACACTTGCAACTAAACTTATCAGCCATGACTCATATCACCATATAATGCCCCAAGTTTCAGGTAGCCTTTAACATTGTTAAGCAATAATACGAATGAAGCCTATCAAAAGGAGAAGAGAGGTGAAGAACTAAAACTGAAATTAAGACTTTAGTTAAAGTCTTACGCAGTTGCTAGATTTTTGATACTCAACATAAGCTTATAAGATCATAAAAATTTTCTTACAGGAATTCTTTAAAAAAAAAACAAATTTACTTTTTAACATTTAGATTATTGTTAATTTTCAGCTTCCAAATTCATCCTTGATAACTTTCTGCGTTGATTTAACATGAGCAGGTACAAGAGATGGACAGGTATGAACACATTTTTTGTTGAAATACTAAGCTTCTTCCATTTTGTTTTATTAGAAAATCCTCCTAGTGCCAAGCAACCTACCAAGATGCTGGTCATCAAAAAGGTTTCAAAAGAGGATCCTGCTGCTGCCTTCTCAGCTGCATTCACATCACCAGGACCTCAGCTTTCAAATGGCAACAAGGCAACCCCCATCGTCCCAAGTGTCTACAAAAATCTGGTTCCTAAACCTGCAGCACCCCCATCAAAGGTACACAGAATATCAATGAGAAGCTATTATAGTACCCTGTTTCCTCCAAAATAAGACATCCCCTGATAATAAGCCCAATCAGGCTTTTGAGCGCATGGCAGTAAGGCCAAGCGCTTATTTCAAGGTTCAAAAAAATATAAGACAGGGTCTTATTTTTGGGGAAACATGGTAGCAATAGGGGCAATTGAAATTATGTTATAGTAATATAGTAATAACAGTATAAATATCTGTGGTATACTAATATAAAAATAAAATACTAACAGTATAGGAGGGTCCATGGGTTCTTCCTATCTTGATTGTTGGAAACTTGGTTCAACTCTTCTATATTGTCAGTTAGCATTGTGTAGACATTTAAAAGAAGATGGCCTACTTTGAGGTTCTTGAGGGGAAATGGGTTATCTGAACCAATTTCAGTTGGCATTTCACACCAGGGTTCAGTACAGATACAATATTGGTTGCACTTAACAATGATTTTTGGCATAGCCACTGCGTATAAAGAAAACTTATACAAAATGTTCTATAGGTGGCATCTTCCGCCTACAAGGTTAGCAAAAATGAACAGGAATTTATCACTGCGGTGTTGGAAATGTAACTCAGTGTTAGGATCTTTTTATCACATGTGGTGGTTATGTACAAAAAAAAGCCAGGAAATTTTGGTGTCAGATAAAGACATGGTTGGAAGAGATGCTAGACCAAAACATAGATTTGAAACCAGAACTATTCCTACTAGGAATTACAACAGAGAAATATGGTAAAGGATTGATATACTTAATGCTGCATGTTATAACAGCAGCAAGATTGGTCTATTCGCAATACTGGAAAAATGAAGAAATCCCCCCCCCCCCCCCCCCCCGAAAAAGAAATAATAAAGAAAATCTTGGCCTGCGCAAAAATGGACAGGCTGACACTAGAACTCAAAAATAAGGGCAAGACAGAATACTATGAAATTTGGAATAAACTGTACCAATGATTGGAAAGGAGGAAAAGTAGTCGGAGCAGAAAAGATTTAGGGTTTGTAGAACAGAAATTGGAAAATATTTAGACAAATATACAAATAAGTACAAGGGATATGTTCATAAGATCAAAGTAACAATATATGATAAGTTGTAATTATATTTGTTGTTATGGAAAAATATGTATGGAAATGACACAACCAGGATGGCCACACTGTGTCCAATGTTTTTAATGTTTATTTTATTATTTAATTTAATTTATTTGATTTAATTATTTTAAAAAATGATTTTTGGCAGAGCTAGCCTGGAGTGGTGCATCAATCCTTGTACACCCTGATCTCTCAGCCATGATACCATCAGCAACAGTATCCTTCTGGACTAACTCCAGAGGCTCAGAATAGGAAGCACTGTATTGCAGTGGCATGCCTCTTCCTCTGTGGTTGCTTACAGCTAATGTTAACAGGAAGGGAGAGATTGCACCTGTGATACCTCACTTATGGGATGCCTTAGGATTCAGTGGTCTCTGTCTTGTTGTGTAACATCTACATGAAACTGCTAGATGAGAAGTTTGGTATCATAAGCATACTTTACATTTCAACCCTGATGGTATCTGTCAAACTGTTGAGGTACTGTCCCATTCTCTGAAAGCTGTTTGTGTCTGGATGGAGAGGAATAACTTCCATTTCAATCCTGACAAGACTGAGTGGCTCTGGCAATCTGGGTCCCCCTGGGTTGGAATAATTTCACTGTTGCTCTTGGATGAGGCTGTACTTTGGCATTCAAGACAGGTGCACAACCTTGGATTCCTAGACTAACAACTACTGCTCAAAGTGCAGGTGGCAGCTGTGGCCTGGAGGACTTTATTTGGTACAGGTTCATCTTGTGCGCCAGGTGTGCCCTTTTCTCAATTAAGAGTCCTTAAAGTCCCCCATGCCCTGCTTGCCTCTCAATTGGACTTTTGCAATCCGTTCTACATGGGACTATCCTTAAAGATTGTCTGAAAGCCACAGCTGGTTTAAAATGGAGTGGTATGAGCAATAAGGGCCACTACTCACTCTGCTCATGTCACAGAAAAGCTGCATTGTTTACCACTTCGTTTCTTGGTGCAAATTCATGGTTTTTAAAGATGTTTATGGCATAGGGCCTGGTTATCTGAGGGACCGTTTCTCTTCTACTTCAAGTACATTCAGGCAGATTCAGATTGACTAGGAAGCATCTCTTCAGAGATACAGATGACAGACTCATTCTCCTCAGGTTCCATAAAGCTCTTAAAAACCTGACTTTGTTCTGAGACCCTGGGGTAAATGTATTGGGTTGGGGAATAGCTGTTTTTAATTTAGACTATCCTGTTTTGCCTACATTTTTCATTGTTTTAAATGGTATTAGATTTTGCAAGAGTATTGGAATGTGTGGCCATAACAAATTTAACGGGAAAAAATAATAAAACATTTTCCTTCACTTTCATTCTCTAGCACTGTTTTTTCTTTCATTTTGGACAAAGTATTTGGGATCATTTGTTATTTTTCCAAATATTTGATATTCTGGGAGGTGTTACTGTTAGGATCTGGAATATACCTATGTCAGATAAATGTACAACAGATCCCAAAAGGGGCATTTTAAATAAGTGCAGATTTTCAGAAGACAGTATTTTTACTAAGTCAGTGTTGGTTTTAGGCAAATATATCGCTATTGTTACTGTACATTTCTTCATTATAGCCAAATCAATGGAAAGCTAACAGAAGTGAACATAAACCAAGCTCACTAACCTCCAGCCGTGATTCAGCTTTTACCAGTCCTGTGTCTGTAACCAAACCAGCTGTGTTAACCAGTGGCTCTGTTCTCACCTCTTCCAAAGAGGTAAGCATGTATGGTGGATATAAACATGCTATAAATCAGAAGGGACTAACCAATTTTAGCGCTATCAAATTAGTGAATTATAATAGATTTAACAATGCTATTACTCTATTCCCAGAGTCCCTCCAGTACCACCCCTCCTATTGAAATAAACTCCTCTCGCTTGACAAAGCTGATGCGCCGCACCACAGATAAGAAGAGTGAGTTCTTAAAAGCTCTGAAGGACGACAGGAATGGAGAATTGCCAGAGCGCCATGAGAACAACAAACTGGAGGATGTGAGGGTTCCATGACTTTTTTTAAAATAATGTCAAGAGTTGTTTTTAAATAATTTTCTTGTATGCTTATTTAGTAAACCTGTTACTTTCCACAAGAACTAGCATATGCATCTTGATTCTGGTTTCTGTCATGTATAAGATATGGAAAATAAAAAATAATTGTAGCAAATATTTATATTTTTTAAGAGATGAGGAGTGATGCATAAGCAAATTTTTGTCTTCATGTTTCTGATATTCTTGTATATAATTTATACAAATGTAAACTTTCAATTTGGACAACAAATTAAAATAAATCAAGTTATGCTTAACCCTAGAAATACAAAGTATATAGCATAGACACTTAATTCTTATCATTGTGATAATTGGAATTTCTTTTCACCTTTCGGAATGAATAATAGATACCTTTTTTGAAGAAAATGGTCTAATTTAGATACTGATTTTTTTAAGGCTTCATGCATTTTTTGCAACAGTGCAGTGTTCCCATGCATTAGTTCAACATATGGGAATCCTCAATTATTACAATGATGGTGGAGGTTGTTACTATTTTTTATTCTTGATCCTGTGTTATAAACTCATGCAGACTGTCCTCATTTAACTATGATAATTGAGACTAGTAATTCCATTGCTGAGTGATGTGATTGTAAAATGCAATATCATGTACCACAACCAATTTACAGCAGAACAGAACTGCTGTCATTAAGGAAACCCCACATGGCTTAGTGCAACATCATGCGATCACAATGTGTGACCTCCCACTGGCTTCCCCATTAATTTAGCTTGCTGGGAGCTGGCAGTGAAGGTTGCAAATGGTGCTCATTACTGTAGGATGCTACAAGTGTCTTGTGACCTTTTTATTATATTATGGGTTTTTTTCTTGCACTTTTTACTCCTGTATTTTAAATTTAGTTTGTATTAGATTTTATTATAATATAAAGTCTTAATACAATTACATTCTAAATTAAACAACCATTAACATTTTTGATAGTTGTTTCTAAGTGTTAATTTGAGGTTATTAGCCTCACCATAAAGCCTATACTATTTGAGCATGTAATTTAGAGAACTTTCTAAAATATCATTGATGAATGCTAAAAGAACTATTACACGATCTGTCTTTTGATCTGTCTTTTGTTCCTCACTAGGTGGATGGTGGCAGTACAGCAGAACCAAAGGAAACCTGGGAGGAGAACTGCCATCAGAATGGGCTTTCTTTGCCTTTGGAAGAGGGAGAGAATCTTTCTCACTCTTTAGAAGCAGAACACAGGTGAGAAAAGAGGCAGTTGGTCTGGAAAATATTAACCAACCAGAAATGTATAAAAATCAGTAGAGGTTTAACCAGCTCTAGAAGAAGAACATGTGATTTCTTGACAAAGCCCCATTACTCCATGTTATCCAGTACAATACAATAAAAGTTTTTGGCTTCTTGTAATGAACGTTCTTCTCTTCTGCTATCCACATGATACCCTGTGATTCATGCACTCTGATGGAAGCATTGCCTTTTTGCCATTTCTTATTGAAATGTTTCACAGGGGAGGGAAAGGAATTCCCCTCCTTATTAGTGATAAGGCAAGAATGATTGCATGGAAACAGTTTTTAATCTCCTAATCATATTTTCCTCAGTTTTGAAACCTGCATTAGGTTTGAATTGAGGCACAATTCAATCTGGCTAAGGAGCTGCTTCATTAGACACAGCAGAAGGATGACATTCACCATCTGCCTCTACACAATCCATTTTAACAAAGAATGGGGTGAAAGTAGATCATTTTTTATATTTACTGTCTAAGAACCAAAACAATATTTTGTTTAAAAACTGTCTATTCCTTCACTCCTGTCAAATGTTAAAGAAGTGTACAATATAGCATGTAACAATTATTCAAGTATGTAATTTAAGTTATTTGAGAGTAATAGTTTTATTGTAATTAAAGAAGACACAAACGGGATTTGTGCCTTACTACCGCCTTAATGCAGGATTCCTCAAATTTTGTGGTTCTGCTCTTCCCAAAATACTTGATGAATTTCTGTGATACCACCTCACCATGAATAGAACAAATTATTTCATTGACAAGACACACAATTTAATATTTAAATCACAGGGTCCTCAGACTCTGTGGTCCTGCAGTTGTCAATTTGAGCTTGCACAGACAAAATGAGGAACAAAGCCCAAGATAAGTTTTGACAGTGCTCCCACTGTCTATACAAGGCTGATCAATATAAAAAATAGTGACACCACCCCCTTACATCCAATTGATCATAACCCCCAAGGAGTTATCAGCACAGCCCACAGTTGAGAACCTTGTCTTGGTACTTTTTAATCACCATTCTCACTTTTTCTTTAACTGCTTCATTTAACTCTTAGCCTAACTTGCTTTATTAAAGTATTTCTCTCCTACAGAGCAATATTGTAAAATAGCTGTAAATGATCTTGTGCCTAAGGAGTAAAATATATTTTTCTCCATAATGACATATTTAATCCTGTCCCTTTTCTATTTATTCTTTATCTTTTCCATGCTAGATTACTGAAAGCAATGGGATGGCAGGAATATCCTGAGAATGATGAGAATTGCCTTCCCCTCACAGAGGATGAGCTCAAAGAGTTCCAAATAAAGTCAGAGCAGGTATGGTCAACTTAGCATCATTTTATTTTGTAACTTATGTGTCGAAATCTCCGAGAACATTGATTATAATAAACGAAGAGGTCAAAATTAAATCATTTTGTTTTGGTGCATCTGACAACAATTAATAAATTTTGAGTTTATTTTGACTGAAAAGGAGAAACAAGTATGAACATTTTCTTTCCTTTCTCTCTAGCTAAGAAGAAATGGTTTTCGGAAGAGTGAATTTCTTAGAGGCCAAGGCAGCAGTCAATTATTCTCCCACTGGAGAAGCACTTTTAAGACAGAGTTTGAAGAGTCAGACACAGAAACAAGTAGCAGTGAAACTTCTGACGACGATGCCTGAAGTTGGGCACCAAAAATTCATAATATAAAACCAACCCAGCAAACTCAGTTTGTAGTTCAGCACATAAATGTTTGGGGTTCGAATGAAGCAGAGTTTATTCTATCTCAAGTCTGTTCAGTTTTTTATTGTTGAAAACTTCATGCACAAGGGAAAGAATTATATCCCAAAGAAGAAAGCTATTGGCTTACTACTTTTTGATTTTGCCCTTCTGTGCTTCATAGAGAACAATCCATTCCGCCTTCTGGAGCAAGGCATGGGTTCAGTCTCATCAGGAGCAGGATGCAAAAGACTTAAGTTGGGCAACCACAAGCTTCTCATACTGCCGTCCACATTGCAAAATGTTGTGCGGCAATAATGTGCTAAAACAATCATTGTCAATGACAAAATGGCTACGGAAGTTCTAATTGTGTTAAATTAATGCTAATAACATGGAACTTTTTTATTTTTTGGCGGCTCGGGGAGCTTCATCACTTAACCAGGCGTGTTTGGTTTTTCTTTTTTTGGGGGGGGGGGAGGTACAGCTGTAAAATATTTGGATATAGGAATTGTTTGTGTTCTTGCAACCTTGATATTCAGGGTGGATTGTTAAAATATAAAATTTTTGTGGGATTTCAAAGATTAAGATTATTTTGATAACATTATTTACAGATTTAAAAAAGTGACTATCACATTGAGTCTGTATGAGGGGGAAAACTACTGCATCAAAAGATAACTAACTTGGAATAAATATTTTGCATCAGTTTGCCAATTCTGAGTCTGTCATTTCTCAAGTTACTAGTTATAGAGTTCTTAAATAAGACTTTCTTGTATTTCAGTCTTAAAATAGTAATTTTTCAAAAGCAGAGATCTAATTTGCTTGTTTCTTGATGAATAAGTGAATCGCTCCAGTCCTGTAAGTCGGATAGGTTTATATCAAAAAAGGATATCTATAAAATAATATGAATTTCTCATTGGTAATAAAAATATTCACATTAAGTATATAACAAAACTGATAAATTTGGCAGTGATTATCCTTGTATACACCTAATATCTAATTTCTGATACAGTACACAAGGAGCATGGAGGTATAGTGCATGTGTTGCTTTTGTAAAGATTTGCTAACTTTTAATACTTTTAAGTTTTAGCATTTGAACATTTCAAAATTTGGTTTTCCATCAGGTGAAGTTTGGTTTCTATGACTTTCAGGGCAAGTTTGTATAATTCTTTTGGAATAATATAGAAGCCATTGCTTTTGCCTTCTTCCAGGATGTTTTTTTCAACTTTTTAATCTAGGCTACAATCCTGGAATTTCCTGGTAATTTTCTATCCAAATACTACCCAAGTGCAAATCTTAGTTTTGAAGATCATTCAAGGTTGGCCATAATTAAATTCTCACAGAATTTATGAGCAGATTCATACTTTAGTCTGCCAAAACTCTCAGACTGTACTGGCATATATCCATAAAGTGCAGCATAACATTATATAACGTTTGGCATCCAAAGCGCTACATTCCTAATGGTCCTAATGGTCAAGGAACAAGAGACTTACTAGAGCTGATTGTTTTAGGACACCAAAGGAGTTTTTGCTAAAATAAATAATTTGCCAAGCTAGCATTCATTAGGATTAAAGGAAGACAAACAACCTACAAAGTATTTAATTTGTAAAGTCAGTCTGACTACTGTACATAATAAAAACCAATACACCTCAACTTCATGCAGCACTCCTTGCCAGCTAGGCAAAAAGCATCTCTGCGATGCAAGAATTTAAAATTGCATGTTAAAATTATAGTGTGATACGGGATTTGGAAAGAATACATACTTCTGCAATTGTCTTTGGACTAGTTTTTTTAATGTTGACAGTGCTGCATTAGTAAACAATTCTGTATCCTAAGATCATAATAAAAGCATTTATATTCATGTATTCTTTCAAGTAGTGGACTATGACACAAGGATTGCATAGCAAGCACTACACATAAAAAGCTCCTAAAGTAATTAGTCATATCCCTCCAAACATTCCTGTACTTGAAAGTTTAACAAGTGGAATGAATAAACTACTACTGTGACATAAAACATGTAGAATATAACTTTAGAATCTTTCTGAGGAATTTATTTCAGCAAAATATCAAAATTCCTGTGTCTATTGATGACCTTAATTGCAGTATTTAATTGAGAACAGCACCAAACAAAATATATTGCAGTGGAGAATAATCCTCCACTAAAGGATATTGAATATTTGAATATTTGAAAGTACATGTCAATGTGAGAGAAAAAGTATCCGTGACTAGAAATATTTTAAATGACCAGAAACATTTTAAAAGGTTTTCTACAGCAACTGTAAACAAAAATTATCTGAAACAACAATACAACTGCTTTCTTTTTCAAAAGTTAAAGTACTATCTCAAATGTGGATGAAGTACTATACACTGTCTATGAACTGGCTCTTCATTTTGAAATACTGAGATGAAAATTACCAAGAGTTGTAATTAGTAAAATCCTCTTTGTATCCTGGACATGGTAAAAAGCAATACTTATGATTGGGTTAGCATATGAGAAATAAATGGTACAGTGTGTGTGTGTGTACATATAAACTGAATTATGTTCCTAGTTAAGTAAACGGTTGAAAATTAGTAAAAAAAAAATATACACTTCAGAGGAATATTGGCAAATCAGACTAGACAAAGCGTGGATGATAACCATAAATATAACAGCTCACTTAGAGCAAAATGCATTTCTGTATGCAGTAATAAGATAGGCTCCAGTCCTGAGATCTAAAATAAATTTCCATGGATTTAATCGTGGCAAATGATGAACAGGTTCTAAAGAATGGCTGTTCCAAATATTCTGCAGCAAAAATGACCCAGCTTCACAATAACCTGGTGTCTCCTACTTAAAATTCTACCCAGGTCTAATCCTAAACTTTTTCACTATTGGACAAAGGCAAGCAACCATTTGCACTTATGACTTATGCCCTAGTGATGGCTTGTTTATTAATATTTATAAATGGCCATTTTAGGTTAAGGGACTATTTGAGAGGCAAGATAGATCTTCCACTATTGCTGTGAAATGACAGAAGAAAACATAAATTTCACTCCCAAGACGGTCTAGTCTAGTGTTTCGAATTAACCAGAGCTCAGACGCAAAAATCTTGTGGATTACCCTGTACTGAACTTGATAGCGTTGAGTTTATTTACCGCCATCGGCGATCGCCCGAAGACTTGACAGCCCAGGTGTAGGAGCTCCAACGCAAAAAGCTACACTCAAGTTTACCTTTACAACATCTATTTGCTTCACTGCGTACTGTTTTTAACTGTTTAACGTCTCTTTTGCATGGTAGGGGCTCGGTGGCTAAGATGCTTGTCGATTGACAGGTCGGCAGTTCAGCTGTTCGAATCCCTAGTGCTGCCTATACTTGTCCCAGCTTCTGCCAACCTAGCAGCTCGAAAGCACGTAAAAAATGCAAGTAGAAAAATAGGGACCACCTCTGATGGGAAGGTAACAGCGTTCCTTCCGTTTAGTCATGCTGGTCGGACAGCGCTGGCTCTTCAAGGCGTTGAAACGGAGATGAGCACAGCCCCCTAGAGTCGGGAACGAGTAGCACATATGTGGGAGGAGAACCTTTACCTTTACCTTTGCACGGTACCGAGTTTGTCGATCAGAAAGGTCGGCGGTTCGAATCCCTAGTATAGGTCTCCTGCGTCAGCAGGGGGTTGGACTAGATGACCTCCAAGATCCCTTCCAACTCTGTTACTATCACATCTGTTACATCAGATAATTACGGGAGACCTCTCGTTCCAAGCAGCCACAGCAGCACCACCTTCCTCTCAAAAAAAAAAAAATCCCTGCCAAGCAACAACCTTAACAATCATGAAGAATTTGCAGCCTCCGTCCCCGTGTTGAGCAATTCTCTGAAAAACAAGCCTGAGTACACCTCATTGGCTTCTTTTCACACAAACCATAAAGAAAGAAAAAAAAAACCCCGTCCAGCCCAGGTCACGCTAACCACGAACGTCCTCCAGCCACCTCCTTCCGCCTCTTTCAACGTCCCACTTTGATGACGCGACGATGCGCGTCGCCTGAGACGAGAGTCTTTTGCCGCGAGATTTCCCGTGGAACAAACCGTCCCGAAATGCTTTGCGTCTTTCTTTTTGCAATCGGCGCCTCGGAGCAGGATGGGTGAGTTGCTGGAGGGAGAGGGACGTCGTGGTTTCATCCGCCGCCATCCGCCCCGCTAGACATCCCCGCGAAGCTCCCGGTCGGGTAACGGGGAGAAGGATGTTTATCCCGTTAAATGCGCGTGATATTCTGGTTAGTTTTGTGTAGCAATTGCCATTCGGCCTGCTTTGGATCCGGACGCCTCTTCGGCCTTTGCTGTGTGCTGCCGCAGTATAGCCACCTCTTCTTAAGGAGAGAAGGGACCTTTATGGAGCGAAAGCGTTTTCTCGCCTTAAAGCCCCTTTTTTGCCCCTTTGCCCGACGTTGCAATGATGAAACTTTTTCCACTGCTGCATTAAGGCCGAGTTTGCCATGCGGAGACTTACCTTGGAGAACTGAGTAACCCTGGGCAGAAGGAACTCCTGCAAAAGCTCTGGAGGGGCAACTTTAATGACCACACTTAATGCATTCTATTTCGCTTGATTTTTCTCTTTTACGCAGGTATCTCCAGGGATAATTGGCACAAACGCCGCAAGACCGGGGGAAAGCGGAAGCCCTACCACAAGAAAAGAAAGTATGAGTTGGGGCGACCTCCTGCCAATACCAAAGTATGTGCGCTGAATTGTTTAGCGGGGAAATGTTTGGGAAGAGTTCAGGCTGCTGTTGGTGGGAGTAAAGTATTAGTAAATTTCCTGGAAAATGTGGCTTGCTATACAGGCCAATTGGGAAACCCTCTTTCCAGGCAGAAAGAACACATGGAAACTTCAAGTGTGCTTCATTCTGGACTAATCCAGAATAGTGTATTAATAGCAGATAACGAGAAATTTGTTAATTCCAAAATGTCCAGGTAAAGGATAAATGAAGTTTTATATGATATGTCTGTAACAAAACTTTATCTCTGATATAACAATAGTATGGGTTATGCACACGTGTTTTTAAGAACTGTTATTAATGTGCCCCTGAATTTAATTGCAATACCATTTTTATATGTAGTCAACAATGATTGATGTTTGTTTATGTGTGAAACAGATACGAGCTACTTTAGGTATACCCAAGTGTTGCTTATGCGTGGTGGAATGCTTAATCGGGGCACCATATCACTAATTAATTTGAAATTATTGTAATCCTTAAAAGATTTGAAGTAAACTTAAATTAACTTTGGTCATGTTGAGATAATTGCATAGTGCTTTAGCTTGGAGATTCTGTTCCTCTGATGTGGAGGCAACTGGAGTGATGAGAAGTACACCTTAGGTGAGTGTGTAGACTGTTCTGGTCTTCATCACAGTCACCAATGCTAGGGGTCGTCATAGTTACACTGACCATGTTGCCATGTAGGATGGACATTTGAGGCAAGATTTTAGTTCCATGAATTGCTGTGTTTGAACAAACTTGTGGTACTTTGTTGCAGATTGGCCCCAGAAGAATTCACACGGTAAGAGTTCGTGGCGGCAATAAAAAATACCGTGCTCTGCGTTTGGATGTTGGAAACTTCTCTTGGGGATCTGAATGTAAGTGTAAAGTAGATGTTCTGTAGGGGGTGGGGGGGCAGGTGTTAGTGAGCTACCATAGAAGCACAAATAGGAAAACTGTGATGATAACTTTGACCTTAAGAGAGCTTTGGTGAATTCCTAGCTCTCAGTGATAAGAGTGTCATAGTTACCCTGAGTATGTATGCATTGTTGCTATAGGGATGTTAAAGGGGAGACAAATTGTTTAAGCTTGAAAGGTATGGTTCAAGTCTGGTAAAAACTGAAGGGTTGAGATAGAAATAATGAAAAATATTAGCTAATTTTAAACAAGCGGTCAGCATGGATTTAAAGACTTATTCAGTGATGAAGAGACAAGAATGTTGTAGATGGCACTATTAAAAAAAACAGCCGTGCAATAAATTGTAACCTTTGCTTGCATGTTTAGTTTGCTAACCCACTAGTATTTGGGGGAAGAAGGGGTTGCAGGTTTGCTTAAACGAGTAGCTTTGTTCCTATTCAGGTGTACCTAACTGGTCAGTTTATAATCCTGGTGTTTGTTTGGTCAGTGAGGTTAATCACTGCAGATTCTGTATTTACTTTGTTTCATATTTGTTACTGAGCTTGGTTATGAGGACTTTATTGGAGCTGCTGAAGATAACATAAGATTAACAAGTCTATTTTTGTATTTTTTAATTAGAGGGCTGATTATGATACTTTGCAGAAATATTCACGGGGAATCACTGTTGTGACACAAGCTGGCCCTTTTTGCATCATCATCAGTGTTGTTGCACATATGTGTAAAGGGGGCAAGCTTATGTTGCAAATACATTCATATTCTCCAGTCATCCTAGTTTGTGGAATTCATAGTTTGTAAATTTTCTTTTTTAAATTCTGTTCTTTATTCTTTTAAATGAGATGATTTTAGAAATGGAGGCAGTCAGAATTTGCTGCTCCATTATAAAATAAGAATTTATACAGATCCTGCAGTGTGTGAAGGCCTATTTTATGTACTCCCAAGATTCTTACAGCATTCAGGGTTTTTTAATAATTTTTTTTAATATATAAATAAAGATAAATTCCTTTTCTTGCAGGCTGTACCCGCAAAACCAGAATAATTGATGTAGTCTACAATGCATCCAATAATGAGTTGGTGCGCACAAAGACCCTGGTCAAAAACTGCATTGTCCTCATTGACAGCACACCATACCGACACTGGTATGAAGCCCACTATGCCTTGCCCCTTGGGCGCAAAAAGGGTGCCAAGCTGGTAGGTGACATGTTACTCTACTCAGAGGTTTAAAAATATATTTGTCTTCTGATGATGATACCATTAACCAGTTCTGCTGCTGAAAGACAGTGATGGATATCTACTGATCTGAAGGAGACATGAGACCAAGCTGTGCTAGGGTCCCTTTCCTATATAGAGCATCTTAGTGCTGAAGTATGAAGACAAATGTTTTGAATAAAAAGGATTCTATCAATTACTGTTTGTGGATTCCAAGCTGAAAAATGCAAATCTGTTATCCCATCAGTGCTCGGATCTCAATTTATTTATTTGGTAATTGTTTTAGAGTAATAAAGAGTTCAGCACACCGGTCATGCTGTGTAAGATTGCATTAGGAGAATGCACAATACCCAAAGCATTTTGATTGCCCTGGGTATTGGCTGAAACAAAATCTGGAGAAGTTTGACGGGATGAGTAGGACAAGACCTGTGTACCTCACATCTATAGCTCTTCTAAGTTGGCCTATGTATGTACATTCCCTTGACTGCCCCTATGTTTATTTAGACACTGCACATCTAATTGGCACTCTTGTATTTCCAGTTCTTTCCTGACTACAAGGAATTGGGCATTGGTGGCTATAGGGAAGTAGAGGGGGGAAATGGTGCTTGGAAAATAGGGGTGATAGGCTGGTTGAATAAACTGCTGTTCAAGCTGTGGAAATTGGCAGTGACCAAAGTTAATCTGACTTTGCAGTATGTCCAACCTGATAAGATGGCCTCTCCCACCCAGTGGTTTCTTTTCCCTTCCACTTACGCACATAACATGTTTTGGTCTAGGCATAGACAAGTTGTTTTTATGTGCAGAACAGTTTACACCATTTCACACAATGGTAGCCTTTAATTTTACAACCCCAAAATGTGTGTCAGGTGTTTGTGAAGTTATGGGAAATAACAACCACTTATACTTCTGCTTTTGTTCCAGACCCCAGAGGAGGAAGAAATTTTAAACAAAAAACGTTCAAAGAAAATTCAAAAGAAATATGATGAGCGGAAAAAGAATGCCAAGATCAGTAGCCTCCTGGAGGAGCAGTTCCAACAAGGAAAGCTACTTGGTAAGATGTAAAAGACAGAAAACTGAGCTTGCTTGACACAGCAGAAGACTTAAACAGATGTACTATTCTGATAAATTATGTGATGGTGGCAGTCAGAGTTGACAAATTTGCAGCTTCGTTATTCTAGGGCAGTATTTACTTGTTTCAACTCTTGGTATACTATTTAGCTTGACAATTGTTAGAGCCTTTGCCTAGTTCTTGCTACTTTATATAAGTTAGAACCAGAAATTCAAATGTCGGGTGATTACCATGTTTGACCAGAGATTTGAAGTTGACCTTGTGATGAAAACTTTGTCCAGTTCTGCTGCTGAATGTGAGTGGTGACATATCAAGTTCTGAAGGTAACTTCATCTGTAGGAAGACCATTAAATTTTTAAAGGCCTACACGTTGTGAGAAGATGCGCATAGTTGTCTATGGAGTTAAAGCAAGAAAGATTTTGCATTTAAAGAAGCGTGTTCACTAGTCTTAACTGACACATTTCCTTTAATTTTGTCCTTTCCTTTTTCAGCTTGCATTGCCTCCAGACCTGGACAATGTGGCCGAGCAGACGGCTACATTCTGGAAGGCAAGGAGCTAGAATTCTATCTGAGGAAGATCAAGGCCAGAAAAGGCAAATGAATACATTTATTGTATCCCACAGGCTTAATAAATATCTCGAGTCTTGTTATAAATGATTAATGTGGTTATTGGGACAAAGTAATATATCAGTGGTCAGTGTTAGAGTGGAATTTATACAGATGTGGGCTGTAGATTGGAAGAAAGTCTCAGTTTACTTCAATCTGGCGCCAAATGTGTTTCCTTGTAGGACAAGCTATGACTTAACTGCAGCCCCAAGAAAAACAATTTGAGATTTCTCACTGATTTTTTCAAAAGTTATTTAGTTTTTTAACCTTGTTGCATTTTTATTTGGGAGAGGACCTGTTGTTGCTGCCATTCCCCGGTTGAAAATGGAGGCACGATGAGGTAGATTTTCAGAAATGCTTGCACCTTATGTGAAATTATATAACTATACAATTGCTGAAGTATACATTGATGGAAAGCTGGACAAATGCGTAAGCTAAATTGAACAACTGAAATTTAATATTAAGCAAATCTAAATGTTGCTCCTTCATTGAGAGCGCTTTTATATTTAGTATGCAGATTAATAATTTTCAGTGCCCATATTTTTCTCAAGTCACAATTTAAAAATGTTATTGAGGAGCCAGTTTCACTTAAGAGTGTGATTTACGTCTGAATAAACAAGATTATGCTGTTTAATTTTGAAATTGCATGGATTCCAATGAAATAAATTAAGAATTACTAACACAAAGTATCTTCCTAGTTGAATATTTGGCTCATCTGGATTTTACTATTATTCAGATACCTATATAATAAAAAGTTGCAGAACACACACTTTTAAAAGATTATTTATTAATCATAAGGTAAACAAAATTTGGTTAGATTATTAAAGAAAATACATATCTGTAAATATATCTGGCACAAAAAAACCCAGACAGCTAAGTACAGAAGGCACAAAGAATTCAACATGTTAGGTTACTTTTGTGAAAAGGATCCATGACCAAATAAATGGCAATGTGTTTACCATAAAAGAGGCGACTTGTGGATTGTGGGGACTTGTGCTGGGGATGATTGGAAGGAGAACATAGGAGCCCAGTTTTATGTACCAGTAAATGTTTTTTGTTTTTACTTTACTAGGAGTTCAGAAATTTATCTCACAGCAACCATACTTGCTTTTTTGTGTGCTGATGAAAATGGTCAGGAACTCTGGTTTATAAAAATACAACTTGAAAATATCTCCAGTTCAGGAGTGTCAAACTCAATTTCATTGAGGGCTGCATCAGGGTTATGTTTGATCTTGGGGGGCTGGGGTGGGTGTGGCCAGCTTGATGTCACTCATGTCAGGGACGCCTGTGGTGGCCCAAGCGCTCTTGTGATGAAAATGGGCTCCCGAGCTCCGTTTTCTGCTGGGATGGCCTCCTGCAACCCTTTGCCAGTGAAAACGGAGCTTGGGAGGGCCATGGGTGGCTCTCCCACGCTCCCTTTTTGCTGGCAGAGGCACCGTGGGCCGGTCTGCTGTTTCCAGGGCAGCTCCGCGGGCCAGATCTAAGCACCTCGCGGGCTGGATCCGGCCCATGGGCCTTGAGTTTGACAACCCTGCCAAAGTTGATCAAATAATTGTAGCCAGAAATCTTGAGTTATCTGTTGATCTTAGCTAGATGTTGGTTCAGTACTGCTGATGCTGTCATCTAGGGATCCTACCACAATAATAGGTATATCTTTTCTCTCTATTTCTGCATTGTGAGAAGCACCGGTTTCACTAATTCCAGTTTCCTCGTCCTCTGTCTCTTCTTCGTCAATACGGCCAACCGCCTCTGGATCTTCTCTGCGATTGAAGTTGGGACTGGCAGAAGAAAAGATACCCTCAGATCTCAAGCGCAGTAACTGAGGGTGGGAAATCCGGTTGCCCTTCCCAAAATTTTTGAGGCTAATTGCTGGAGAGGCAGCAGCAGCATAAAAGCGGTTGAGCAAAGGTGTCTGTATGCGGTTCATGCTGGGTGATGCATCGACCTGCTGATTCTGCTCTGGGTCATCACTCATCCTACACAAAGGGGGAAAGACAATTCAGTACATGCACAAATGAGTGAAATGAAAAATCGGGATAATTCATGATTCCATTCCAACTGACCCAGTTGCAGGGATAGTGACTTGGTATTTATAACGTGCAAAGCAATAAATTTACTGACCATATTTTACTGATCTAAGTATAAATTAACTGAATTAAGTCCACTGACTAAGCCAAGTGAGAGAAATAAATTGATGGTCTGACCCTAGCTAGTAACCCCTTTAGCACACTAAAGGTGCTTTGAGAACTAAGGAAGGACAGATCTATAGTGGCCCACCTATGCTGTGGCATTCTCCAGTAGAGTGTTCCAGTCAATTGCTTCTTGGAGTGAATCTTGTTGAGTACAACAGAACACCTGTGCTATACATTGCCACCTGTGGGAGGTGTCTGAAATTTCACATTTGGTGTGCTCTTAGTGCCCTTCTAGTAAATGTAGAATTTGCTTTAATATAGAATTTGTTTTTATTTGCAGGAACAGGTGTTGCTACATGAGTTTTGCCCCATTTTACGACCTTTCTTGCCACAATCGTTAAGTGAATCATCGCAGTTGATAAATTAGTAACATGGTTGTAGAGTGAATCCCGCTTCTTCCTCAATTTTGCTTGTCAAAAGGTTGCAAAAGGTGATCACATGACCTTGAAGCACAGCAACAGTCAAGTATGACTCGGTTGCCAAACATGAATTTTGATAACATGATCATAGGGATGCTACAAAGGTCATAAGTGTGAAAAACGGTCATAAGTCATTTTTTAGTGCCATTGTAATTTTGAACTAAATGAACTGTTGTAAGTCGACTACCTATATTTTATTGTATAATGGCTAAGTTAAATAAGCAGGTTGTATCATATAGTATGATGGACTGCTTTTTTTCCCTTCATAGATGACTTTAAACAAGTTCCTGATCCCTAAGCAAACGTATCTTCCATGAGTGATAAACAAGCTTCTCTTGGGTTATAATTCCCATCATCCCAAACCTCATGGATATGGTGGTTATAGTTTATGAAAGCGAGAATTTAATGATACCTTGGAAGGAAGATAGTGGATATATGGGATTGTAGGAGATTTTGCTAGTCTGGTTAAAATTCAGTCTGGTGCATCGGTTAAAGCAAGCTGCTGGTCATGGAAGCTTATGACTTAACATTTATTAGTTGGAAAAAGTTACCAGATTACATCTGAATATCTAGGAGGAGCTTTGTTGCATCAGTTTGGTTTCCATCTAGTATCAATAAATTGTCTTACTACTGTGCTTGTTGATGCTTTCATGAATGCCAATCATGCTATTTATTCCTCTTCAATTTCCTTAAAATTTATTTCAAGTAGAAACTTGCTTGCCCCCGAACTGCCAATGTGCAGTTTAGAAAATTAGAAATTTTTCAAGATAGGAATTGGAAAGAATAAATTATCTTGCAGAGAGACATGCTCCAAACTTTTCATGACAGCATGAATATTCATATGTTACATGATAGATTATATCTTATCACATTATCTTATTGATTTGGACAAGGAAGTTCACAAAAGCAGAGCTAGGTAGTTGTCTGATGACAAACACATTTGGCAATTAAAGTTACCGCATATCAAAGGTGGAGCCCATGAAGGAAGGTTTCAAGGTCTCTGCCAGTGTGGCCGTTGTGTAGGGTAGTTGAGCTGTAGATTCATTCCAATATTTGTCCTTCACAGTTGGAGGCAAGTTCTGGTACATGTCATCCACTGAAAGCAACGATACCTAGCCAAAAGAGAGAATTGTTCTGTTTTTTAAGAGTAGCTGGTGAAACTACATATCTATTGGTTACAGTGCTTCAAAGTTAGATTCAAATCTTTGGTTTGCATAATTGTCCCTTTTAATGTCTGCTTTCACAGAGTTAGAAAAAAATAAGCAGATATTGGGACAATTAGAAATTATTCTTATGATAGGCTTTCAGTGCCATTTTGCCATACAGTCTGAAATTAAATACGTCTGACTCTGACAGCATCAGGTGGAGAAAGGCTGAGATTACCAGGTTTCCCAGATTAATTTCATGCTCTTGTAGCTGCCATAAGGATATTTTAAATCACTAGCAATAGTTAATATCCTGATGCACCAGTTTCTAGACCAGGTATAATTTGTGTCTAAGTAGCATATTTCCTATTTTAAGCACTTATGTAAGACTCACCTGAAAGTTTCTGTCTATCAATTTATTAGTTTCAAAATCATCATCATCCTCTCCAAAGGGATTAATTATTTGTTCCGCCACCTATATGGGAGGGAACATTTATTCAGTATTTTGAAGATAGCTGTGAATCTGCTTAAAATGAACCAGATTAATCTGCAGCTACGTATGCATAAAGGTTAGCTGTGTAGCAAGAACATTACTGTACCTTAATAGTCCAAAGGCATTCTGTTAAACAGAAATAAATGAACATTGTATATAGATTGTAATGCAACTTAAAAACATTAAAAAGCTGAGTTTCACCAGCTACATCTTGTTGCCTGAAGAGGAAAGGATAGTTGATAGATTCAGCAAACTTTCACTGGGGGAAAATGCAAGATAGGCTGTCTAATATTTCATTCAATATCCTGACAGTGTTTTTTAGCTTCTGGTTTGTTTCATACAAGTTTATTCCAAAAGTGGTATCACTATATTTTAAGTAGAGTGACACAATTTGTGGAACAAACTGGCACGAAACCAACCAAAAGTTCAAAAGTGAAAGTTTGTGCAATCTATTTAAGAACTGTACCAGATTGACTGTAAAATAGGTCCTATGGCAGGTGTGCTTTGAGCCATTTATTATTATTAAATTATTACTGTAATATGAAAAAAAGTCAAGCTATTTGGTAGAAGCCAACATCCTCACCTTCAGCCACCCAGCATAAAAGAAGAACTGTAGGAGTGTGGGCAAGGGAACATACATGTCTAGTTCTCCACCATGAGCTGGATCCAGGAACTGGCGACCAACCACACAAAATGCAAAGAAAGAATAGACTGCTATAGTGACCACCTGTGGAGAAGATGGCATTCATGTCTGGTATTAGACATCATCATTGGGCTCAGCAATTTTTTAAACCAATCCATTTTCCCATTTACATGAGTTTCTTAAAACCTTTATTTCATGCACGTCCACCGCCCACTTATAAAACGGTGAAACATTCCAAATATTTCACTGTGGCTCTTTATTTTTTATTTGTTTTAATTTGCTTTAGTAGCTGTAGCAGCAGACATGAGCTATGTATGTTTATATGTTTTCTGTTGCACTGACCTGTGTGTACACTAGGGGGATACTGATCCAGTCAAAGTGAAAAAGCATGCTGCATTTGGCACGGTAGAGGTTCAGTTCCTGCATGGAAAAAACCCAGACGCTTCAGAATTTGCAGCTTTGTTAAACAGTTTGCGATGTACAGCAATATCCAGCTTTTAACTAAGTCCAATTTGAAGCGTCCTTTAAATTGAAGTGTAACTTTCCATTAGGCTTATAGATAAGAAGGTGGATAAGTGTGTTCAGCCAATTCATGGAATCGGGGTTATTTTGCAGCATAGATGGGATATGTGAAATTAAAATCATAATGTAGGAGGCAACAAACTGAAGTCACATTTATATAAATTATAATATTCTTTAGATTAATATAGATTAATAGGAGATTTTTGCCTGATATTGGACCTCAAGAAGGCAAGAATATCTCAAGAATGCCAAGAATAGCCCTGACAAATGCAAAACAAGAATTGGAATAATTTAAACTTGGGTACTTATAACCTCCTCCATTATTCCTTGAACTTACATCCATGAGCAATCTGAGTGCCACATCATCGCGGACCCTCCCTTCTCGTCGTGCCTGAGCAGCTAGATTGGTGAACCACACACAAGGGATCCAATACTTGTTGAAGTCTGAATGGAGACTTTCATATTTCTTACGTTCATCCTGTGTCATAAAACCTGTAAGGGGGGATATGGGAAAGTTGGAGAAATTGGCTTGGAAGCTGGTTCAAAATATAGACTCAGTCACATTACTACAGTAATACTTTGTACTATATTAGGACGAAGGAATATTAGGTATGTTCACTGCCCTGAATTTATAAACATAATAAAGGTGGGATTATAAAAATCTTTTTAAAAGAACAGACATTTGACAGGGACGATATTATGGACTGAGGAAATTTAAACTGAAAAAGTGCAAGGCCCCTTCTCAGTTCCTTGCTTTGTCGCTCGTTTCTCAAAAACTACTCGCTTGAAAGATTTAAAGTACAGTGTCCTTTCCAAATCTACCTGGGGGATTCTGATGTCAGGTTTCGAGGTCGTCTCAAATAAATTGCATTTCAAACAAAGTCTTTGATGAAAAACTCCCATTTATTAAGCACGACATTCTAACTCCGACTCCATCGCAGCCAACACTGACTTCCTGACCCAAAACCCTCCCTTTCCCCACTCCTCTGCACTCATTGGCCATCTTCCAAGTCACTTTACCCCTAATCTACTGCTCCAGCTCAAAGGAATTTCCCCCCTCCCATCCCATCTCCTAGGGGATATTATCTCCAGGGAAAATAAGTAGGTGAAAAGTCAAACGTCCCTTTCCAGACGCCTCCGCTTCTCCTTATGTCAGCACTAGAGTAAATGCAGCTTGAAGTGCTGACATCTGACTTGTTAAAAAGTCCACTAAAATTGTAAACCAACAAATTGGGGAAATTGGCTTACAACATGATGCATTATAGGCAGCCTATGCAGGGATTATTCTGAGTTTCCGAATTAGCTATTAGCAAAAGCAGTTTTAGTGATGTTCCTGAAGAAAACATTACATCCAAATAGTTTTATAGAGATGCAGTTAAAAAAAAAACATTAATAAAAGTTGTCCCTAATCTTGTGCCCTCTAAACGCCAGTTGTAGTCCTAATATTCTTAAGGGCACCATAGTGAAGAAGACTGCCAGTGAGTAGATGAGCCAATGCAAGGGCTGAGAGCCCTGCAAAATAATCAATACTGGTTTTCCCTCTGGATTCCTGTTTTTCTCCCCCACCCCCACCCCGGGCGATAGCCCAAAGTGAGAAGCTTCTCTGCATCCACTTTCACTCCCTCAGCCTTATATTTTTCCTTCCCAGTCAGGCTCACCAGCTTCTACGATATGGTCCATAGTGGGGAATCTCTTAAGCACTCTAGTGCTGACTGAACGCAGGATCAGGACAGAAGACAGGTTGGCATAACGAATGAGTGTGCGCCGCAAAATCCGACCCTTCTCATCTTTCCCATGAACGTTGCTGGAAATGACGCACATCAACTGATCTGGCAGGGGAATGCTGGTGTATTGGGCCCACCAACGGTTCACAATCAGTGTGACGTAAAAACCTGCCAAAAGAGAAGTTCAGTGGTCCTAAAAGAATAAGGGCTGCGACCTGTTCCTTGTACAAAGATGAGGGACAGTAACCAATTTTAGTGAGTGGCTGTTAGAGTTTCACATATTTCAAATCCAAAGGCTATTGAAATCACTGCTGTTTTAAACTATTGCTTTACATCTGATTTGAGACAACCTACCTTTCTAGAAATTTCTTGCTCTTCTGGTTTTATATGATGCCAAAAAGGGGATGAAGGCTCATTAATAAATCAGTTACAAAAATAAAGCTGAAGATGTACGGCACTGTTAGATTGTTGATTACTGTGTGGTAGCAAAATATCAAATAAATATTATACGAAATATATATTACGCAATATGTAGATGGATATATTTAGTTGATAAATTAAATATACAATACAAGCATGAAATTTAGGCCTCCAGATCTGGGCTGCAAAACTCAAATCATCACAACATGGATTCAATGAGTTTCTCTCTACATTTGCTGCTATCTGGGGTCATCTGGGTGTTTGTAGCCCTGATAAAGATAGCACCAATACAATGAAAGGTCAGAGACCAATCGCCAAAGATCTTCAGAGTTGCTGCACTTAAAGAATAGTTCTGTTTCCCAGCTTAGATATAGCAATAACACTAGCAATAGTACTTAGACTTCTATACCGCTTCATAGTGCTTTACAGCATTCTCTGAGTGGTTTACAATGTCAGCATATTGCCCCTAAAAATCTGGGTCCTCATTTTACCAACCTCAGAAGGATGGAAGGCCGAGTCAATCTTGAGCCTGTCAGGATCAAACTCCAGACTGTGGGCAGAGTTAGCCTGTAATACTGCATTCTAACCACTGCACCACTAGGGCTCAATATCAACATGCTTAGAAGGGTCTGAAAACTTCAACTGTGTGAAAAGCCATAGCCATCAAAATCTCACTTTACTAGAGTAAATGTTTTCCAGACCAGTTTCAAAAAAAAAATACAAGAATTCCAGCCAGTTGTACTGAGTCAGGACAGTAACAATCACAACCAGAATAAACAGAGAAGCTTGATGTGTTTCCTGTGTTCTGGAGCATGACATAGATTCTTCAAACCTTAAAAGAAAGAAAAATAGCCCTGCAGGGAGACTTATTGTTCATACAACCTCATTCTTTTCAGCAATAATAAACTAATACCCAAGGTACCCACAAGATGCAGTTGTGGCCCATAAGAAGGTGACTACTGAAGCTCTATTTTTAAGATGCATCACAGGCAGGAGCTTTGATCACACAATCATGGGTACCATCTTGATTTTACTGACCATACCAAATAATTTCTGAAAAGTTACCCTTCGTGTCCTTTTTAGAGCAAAACTTGCAAAGGAATGTTCTTTACTGAAGGAAAACTGGATCCATCATACTATCAGTTTGCCCTCAAACGTTGGCTATGTTCATTCTGCATAATGTAGGCATTAATTCTCTTATACCAGACTGCCACTTCCCTTTTCATTTTAGTTACTTGATTTCTCCTCCTTCACTTCCCTTTTTCCACACCCAGGCCTTGACATTTACCTTGTGGCTATGTTCTACTTCCCCATCTCCTTCTCTTTAATCAGCCCTTATCCCAACCCTGGAGTTTAAAAAGGACACACCTCAGTGGATTGTGACTCCAGAGTTTACAAAGGAAATGTTTCCTTGGGAATGGAAGGAGAGGGGCAGACGAGGGGAGGGGAGGGAAGTACAAAGCTCCATACAATGAAAAGGATTATCCTGGAAGTATTCCTTCCTAGGTTCAGAGGAAAGGAAATGCTTGAGAGTTACATCAGAAAGTAGGCAGTTATCCAGAACTGCAGAATTTCTTCCCATCTATGGAAGAGGAATGTCACTTAGAGGGCCAGAAAGAAACGGTTGGGAAGCAAGGAGTTCAAAGTTTTGCATTTAGCTCTTGAAGGACAGCATGAAAATGAAACAAGGAATTCTGGGCATTTTTCTGATTATGAAAAGACAGACTGAGTAAATAATATATGGGGAAATTTCAAAGTTCTAGTACTCTAATCCAGATTTCTCTAATCTAGTGATTTCCAGATTGCAAAGGAATTCTGGATTTTGTAATCTCAGTCAGAGAGGGGGGAGAGGAGGGGAATGGCTGTGGACCTACGGTGATGCTCTCCCAGTTTCTAGCTCGATGCCTTAACCATTACACTAAATGGCTCTCTTGTGATGATTAAATTCTAAATTCATTTAGATTACATTCAAGATAAATTCTCAGATTTCAGGTTAATAATCATACCTAAGATAAATAAACTGCCCAGAGTCATATAAATTCAACAAATTATTATTATTACTAAAATCAACAGACATTTTAAGCCCACAATTTCACATAGGAACATATATAGGTAGGAAAGTATATAGTACCTTACAGGTCTATTGGACATTGGACTATTTCTCTGCCTAGTTCAGAACTATCACTTAGATCTGGCCACAGGGCTTCTCTGTCTGTCTTGTTACTGGACCTACTTAGCTAAAGAAGACAGAATTGGCTGTGGCCTCTTTTAAAAGCAAAGCATGCACTCTCCCTTTGACCTTTAGGAAGTAATATAGGATTCTAAATTACCCAGTTACTTTCCATCACATCTCTGCCATTTCAGCTGACCAATAAAAGCAGATAAACAGAAACCACAGCAAGGTGCGCATCAAGAATATGTAAATAAATCTTACCTAGGACAAAAGACAGAGGGATGAGGTCAGTGGAGTGATTGCAATATTTAGCCACATTTTCAAAGAGCCGTTTCTGATCTTCATTAAGAAGGTACCTGGGGGGAGAGAGGAAAAGATAAAAGAATTCCAAGCTAAGACTGTATCATACTAAATATTCTTCTTTAAACTAACAAGAGTTGAGGTTCTTTTGCCTATCCCTGCCAAAGCAAGTTCTCTCTTAGTCTACTTGGGTGATAATCTATGGAGTCGTAGCTCCACTGTGAACTGTAGTTTATGACTTAGCATCATATGATTGCCAGGTTCATTTTATTCCACAAACCACATTATTCTATGTATATTCTATTGTTGGGATATAAAATACGTAAGTTTCTGTAAACTGTGTTAAATGTATCATTTGTTTGTTGAACACTGTTTAAGCTGAGCATTGATATTCCCAACACTCTGCTGCTACAGGTTGCAAATCTTAGCATGGCACATACTCAGGATCCAAACAGACAAGATTTTCAAGGTGTATTAAAACAGACTGCTCGAAGCCTTCTCATGTTTTGCCCAGCAGTGGCTAACAAACAAAATTAGTTTCCACTTTCCCAAAGCAATAATTAAAGATCCATGTGATCATTTTGATATGAGTAGAACCTGAACTAGAAGTCATAATTCATTGCAGATAAACTATAGTAAAATATTAAGAGAGTGTACAGCAACTAACCATTGAATGGAAAATGGTGTTCCATGGACTCAACTAGAATTTTATTTAACATATACTTTAAATTTGCATTTGCATATTATGGTGATGAAGTCCCTTCAGTTGCTAGTTAAATTAAACATGCAATATATGCATCTCTGGGAAATAGTTCTACTGTTATCGTATGGCACATTGCAACTGTTGATGTAAAAGGAGGAGAATAAGCCTCAAATTGCTACTGCCACAGCCATTTAGACTAGATCATCTCTCCTCCAGCAGCTAACACCCAGGTAAGCAGGGAATAACACCAGACAAACAATAAAGCCGAAAACAGTGCCCTAATCAAGAAACTATCAAGGAGAAAACTACCAAGGAGAATCCAGGTAGGGCAAGCTACTCTATTATATAAACAGGAGCAAACTCCACACACACTAAACTGATAATTGTTACCTAGATCTAGATGGGTAATAAAACATATGCAAGCAAACAATCAACCTCAGAGAGATCAAGGACTCCAGACCCATTTATTTCTTTGGTTTGATATTTTATTTTGAGAAATCAATTTGAGTTCTTTGTTTGAGCCTTGAAGAATCTGTTTATGGTGACAACCCCTGACCATGAATGCTTAAGTGCCTGGGGAAAATAAACTACAGCAATTTTCTATATCATTGGAGAGTCCAGTGTCACTTGTCAGTTCCCCACTCTTCTGTCCACAAAGGTCTCTGTCACACAGCTTTCTGTGCAGCATTAAGGCAAGACTTCCATGGCATAGGACCTAGTAATCTTCGAGACTGCCTGCTGCTACCGACGGCCTCCCATCGACCTGTGCGCTCCCACAGAGAGGGCCTCCTCAGGGTGCCATCAGCCAAACAATGTAGGCTGGTGACCCCCAGGGGAAGGGCCTTCTCTGTGGGGGCACCTACCCTCTGGAATCAGCTGCCCCCAGAGATAAGGAGAATCCAAGACCTCGGTGCCTTCCGCCGTGCCCTTAAAACCTTCTTTTTCCAGCAAGCCAGGCTGGCCTAACACTTTTTAAAATGTTTTTAATTGTTTGTTGTTGTTTTTAATCATGGGGCCAAATTTATATATATCTTTTTAATTGTATTTTAATGTTTGTAGTTTATGCTTTTACTTGGCTGTTCATCGCCCTGAGTCCTCAGGGAGAAGGGCGGTACACAAATTTAAAAATAATATAAAATAAGACAGTGGTGAAAAAAAATATTTCCTTAACTGAATGCTTATCTGTTTTAGATGCTCCATTTTGCCCTTTTGAATATACCTTCTAGACAGATGTCACACCTTGATTATATAAAGTGATCTCAAGAGGGGTGCAGTTTTTGTCTTTCTGAAAAAGCCCCCATTCATCATATCTTACCAATCACAGGAATGCATACTGTAGTTCTCCCATTGGGACAAACAGCCTGATGTGGAGTTTTGAGGAATAAGTCTTATAATGTGAGGTTTCCCATATGGAATGGAAAATGAATTCTCTTTCACTTGTTTTCATGAGCATCAGCCTTTGAATGGCTGGGTGAGGAAACAACAAAATTGGGGTCTTGCCATTTATTGGAATGAAATGATGAATAGGAAACTGGATTGTTATTATGGTATAACTTCATACTGATCTTATATTGTTTTTTGAGCATGTGGTTTTAATTCTGGAAGGTGAAGTCCAGATATCTTAAATTTGTTGAGATTGAAAAACACTGCTCTAAACAAACAAATAAATTTTATGTGTGTATGAAAGGGATGGAGGAAAAGTCGGGCTATAGTTCTGTGTTTTAAGAGCCTATCGTAAATTATTCTTGGGCTATGGGAAATTTGTACTGATTTCCCTATTGCATTTTCACTTCTCATGAACATTGTCCACCTGTTTTCAAACTGTGCTTCATAGCTTTCAGGGTCAGAAAGTTATTTCACCAAACCTGTGGGCAGGGCCGTCTTAAAAGCATTATGGGTCCTGGACAAAGCAGGGCACTGGGGCCCCTATGACAACTATTCACAGGAATAAAAATGTAAATGGTCGATAAAATTAAACATATATTTATTTTATTGGCACTTCCAACAAAATTGGTGTTGAAAAAAAACAATAATACTCAGGAAGCCATACAGTTGCTGTATTTATATGATACGAAGTGCATTGAAGGGTTAACATACACAGATAGTATGGGGCCCTTATGCTCGTGGGGCTCATGGGCATCAGGCCGATGCGTTAAGACAACCCTGCCTGTGGGAAAACATTACGTTCTGCATTTCTCATGAAATTAAGGGGAATTACAGTTCACACAGACTTCTGCTTAGAATAGGATTCATTTGCAGAAGGATGCTTGCAAAGATACAATAATCTGTTTTGCAAACCTCTTAAGTTTTAATATCTGACAAACCATTACAATTGCCAACCTACCGGTAAATGGCACTCAGTCCTGCATACAGCACAATGAAGCCCAGAAACTCCTTGTACAGCAGCTTGTAGATGCTCCCTTTCCAGCGGAAGAGCAGCTTAGAGAAGCCCCCAAAGCGAGCATTGGCCACTTTCAAGGTATATGAGACAGTCATGACTGCTCTGTCTACCTTCCGTGCAGACACAAACTAAGTCACAAAAACAAAGAATGTTGAAGGTAAAGAAAAAAAATCATGAAGAGTTTTTTGAAGAGAGAATAGAGCTGAGCAAAAAGGAAGCTGCTGCAGAGCAAAGAAATACTGATTATCACTATCACAGAACATGAGTTTTAATCCAAATATTTTGAAGGATGGACATATAAGTATCATCTGCAGGCATTTGCTGCAGAATAGCTACTGCAATTAAAGTCACTGTAGACAATCATTGATAATCAGATTACAAAGGCTATGTAGTTCACTATGCAAACTGCTGTAGCAAAAATTAAGCAAGTTATTCTGCTTGGTTCAAGGAAAGTGCTATATGCTTGCTCAGAGAGGTTTATATCTTGAACATAACCTATTGAAACAGAAACTCATGCTGAAACAATTAAGAAAGGCTCAAATTGCAATCTTAAACTATGGTCATTGGGAAGCAAGCAAACAACTGAACCTGCAGAGAATATGGCTCCTTTAAAAACATAAAAGCTCTTAGAAGCATCAGTGTTGCTTTGCTTCTCAATACTTTGTAAGCTATTTGTGACTTATGATAAAATAAGTCCAGAATAAGAATAAGAAGCCAAGGGCGTGGAAAGGAAAAGAAACACTGAAAAATGAGACCCCAACTTCTCAAAATGGCAATGCCAGAAAGGGGAGAAGGAGGAGAACCAATCCAAGTCCATTTTAGGTGATCGTATACTTTTAAATGGAGCAGCATTGCTCTATTTTAGTTCTGAAAATCAAAAGACATCATACTTTTGAGGCAGATTGAAGCTTCTCTGTTCTCTTGCATTTTTTAAGGAGGACTGGATGTTGAATAATGATGGCATTCCAAGAAGGAAAGAGAACAATTAAGGGAAGTGAACTGTTGATATTGTTTCCCACAATCCACAGTCTGTGGACAAATCACTTCAAACCAGGTGGCATTACTTTTGAATAACATATTATAATTGCACTGAGCTGCCCCAAAACCAATAGATAATTGAACAACAGGAAATATGGAGAAAAGAATTTCTAAACATGCTGCTGAGTTGCTCGGTGGGCTGAAGAGGGTAATGTATAAACCAGCAGTAGAGCTTTAGTAACAGCTGCATCACATGCATAGATAATGTTATAGGGGGATAAACTGCTCCAAAAGAGGCAATATCCCTGCCAGGAAAAAAAAAAGACTTGATGTTACTCTAATGAAATTAAATAAGTACTTACCTGCCATAGGATTTGGACTGCAGTTTGCTGTAAATTTTCTACTAATTTGAAGAGACCAGAACATCTGTTACAAACTTCCTTTAAATATGTTCCTCATAGTCAATAAATTAAAATGCTTAGAATGATAGATTGGAGGCTATCATACTCCAAGAATAAGGAACTATAGAACTTCACATGGGATAAGCATGATTAAACTTACTTTTGTAAAGCTTTCATGAAAATGTAACTTTAAACAACTCAGAAGATTAGAAAAAAACAGACACAAAGCTGAGTTTTGGCTCAAATTAAGACAGGAACACATTTAATATTGATTTATACTCTCCTTTTTCTGAAAAGCCTACCAGGCAATCTGTGCATATGACTTTCCTTCCATCAACCCTGTTCCTGCTGTCAATCTTATCCCCCACTCCCTTCAGCTATCCCAATTTAGAGTGGAATAGGCTGCTGTACAGTAGGATTTTACTTATGTTCATGCAGATTAGTATTCTTAAGGTGTTTCATTACTTCTTTCTTGATTCCTTGTAACTCAAATGACAGATCTGAATTATGGTATCAGAGTTATAGGCAATAATATCAAAGCAGGGAAATGTCCATGGATAATTGTATAAATTGTATAAACCCCATATAGTTGGGCACCTCATTCCCCACTGATAATAATCTGCTCCATAATTGTAAAATCCACAAGGCATACTGTAAAAAGCTGCTGCCTGCAGGTAAATTAAAGGTCATTGCACATTTCACAGGATTTGCATATAACTATGTTTAAAAAGTACAGAGCTACATATGATAGTATGTATATAATTAATGATGTGGAATTAACTCACTTCATTAGCATTCATGAGTAACAAAATAATGTCAAAGTTTCTAGATATGGCTGGAAGCATAAATAGAACAAATCTTTTAAAGCCCTTTCTCCATTGCTGAGTTGATTATCCATCTGTCCTTGAGTTAGCAGGAATCTACACTGCATGAAATTCGCTGTCCCCATTGCCAGTCTCTGTCCTGACCCTGATTCCTAGCCATATACAGTATACTCATCTGAAACTCTGAACAGAGCATGTGTAATAAACTTAGTGTTTAAAAATAAGACAAGGGCAATTTTTCTTTTCTTCTGTGTGAAATAGATGCAGGGTCATTTTCATTGCTGCATGATCTAGAAGACCCCAGGGCAGGGCAGTGATTTTCATTCATTGTTCTCCTCATGTTTAGTAGTCATAAATGAAGACTGTTGCAATATTTTCAGGATCAGACTCAATAAAGATAATAGAAGTTAAAGCTTTAAATATATTTCTTTTTATTTATGATAGGCATTCTATATTCACTGAATATTCGAGGTAGAAGCAACGAGAATGGTGAGGGTGGCTCCTTATATATACAAGGGGTGGAGCTAGGAATGGGAGTGGTAAGTTATGAATACATTAAAGTCCAAAGAATAAGTTAACCTCTGATGTTCCATATATACATTATTTACACATTGGAGAATAAGGCATTTACATCTGACAAATCCCCCTCTAAATGCCGGTTCGTTACACAACACCAATTACATTCTGATTCAGGACAATATAATACATATAATTTAGAAGTTAAATATTTGTGTTGTTTAGAAGGTAAGGGTTTTGTTAATATGTCAGCTAATTGTTCAGAAGTATCGCAATGTATTGCTTTAATGAATCCGTCTTGAGACAGTTGTCTCACATGCTTAAACTTTATATCAATATGCCTGGACCTTTGTCCAATTGCATCGGATCTGGATATTTCAATGGCCGCTTTATTGTCTTCATGCATAATAAATGGTAAGGTGGGTTTCTTCCAAACATCAGTGATCAGATCATTGAACCATACAAGGTTATTTGCAGCTTTGGACAAACAAACATATTCCGCTTCTGTAGTAGAAGTGGCCACTAGTTCTTGTTTACCAGTATACCAGTAAACTGGACAATCATTCAATAGAAAAACATAACCAGAAGTACTCTTTCTGCATGTTGTATCACCAGCCCAATCTGCATCAGCATAACAAGTAATTTTTGGTTCTCTGTCATTATTGGGTTCCAACATTAAACAAAAATCTAATGTACCCTTCAGATATCTTAGAATTCTTTTGACAGCTTCCCAATGATACAAAGTTGGTTTACTAACATATCTTGACAATAGATTGAGAGGTAATGCAATATCTGGCCTAGTCCAATTAGATATATAAAGGAGTGAACCTATAACTGATCTGTAAAATGAGTTGTCTTTAAACTCAGGGGGAAGATTCATCAGTGTTTCTAAGAAAATCAGTTTGCATAGGGGTGTCACAGGTTTTAGCATTATTTAAGTTACATTTGTTTAGGAGTTCGATGATTTTATCTTTCTGTGTAAGTTTGAATCCCCTTTTAGTTTTGTTAATTTGCACACCAAGGTATTTATTCACTTTACCCAGAGATTTCAGTGAGAAGTGTTCATTTAACTTATTTACAAAGATTTCCCTGCTCTCTTTATGCTTTCCAATGTATAAAATATCGTCCACGTAAATTAATACAAATTCAATATGATCATTACTCTTTTTTACAAAGAAACAGTTATCAGCAGTGGTGGCGTTGAAATCCATGGTCTTAAGTACTTTTACCAAGCAATCGTACCATCTTTTGCCGGATTGCTTTAATCCGTACAGACTCTTATTTAATAACCAAATTTCGTTCTTATTAGTGTATTGACTGTGTGGTGCTCTTACATATATTTCCTTATCTAATTTTGCATGTAAGTATGCGGTCTGTATGTCATATTGGAATACGTCCAGATTGAGTGCAGATGCTACTACAAGGGCTGTTTTGACACTCTCTGTTCTCACTGTGGGTGAATATGTATCAGTATAGTCTTCTGGATATTTTTGTGCATAGCCTTGTGCAACTAGTCTAGCCTTGTATAAGGTATTGCCTCCTTCTAAGTTCTTAATTTTATAAATCCACCTGGTACCTATAATTGTTTTATCCTTAGGTGCGATCGCAGGTGTGAATACATTTAATCCTTGTAAACTTTCCATCTCTTTTTCCATAGCTAGTTCCCATTTTTCTCTTTCTTCATGTGGAAGTTTCAATACTTCTTCATATGTATTAGGTGTTATTTGTTCTCCATTCATATGCATTATGTAATCTTTGTATTTATTTGGTATTTGGTTTCTATTGTTTCTAATAGTTCTTTCAGGCTTGCTATGGTTATCATGCAAATATCTAGCTTCCTTTTTTGTTAATGTGTCTGTCTTTATTTTATGCTGACTATTAGTCCAAGTTTTGGTTTTGTTCTTATTTTTGTTAATATTTTGATTTTCTGTTGTTCCTTCCTCACAAGATATCGTATCTTTACATTTATTAGGAAATATTTCATTAAGGTGCAATTTTGACCAATTGGCCTGTTCATGGAACACAGCTGTTCTGGATACTATAAATTTGTTATTACTATCAATAAATCTGTACCCTTTGGTTCCAGTTTCGTATCCCATGAATCTTAATCTCCTGGATACGTTTTCTCCCTTTCTCCTCAATTGTTTAGGTATGTGTACGTCTGCAGTGACTCCAAATATGTGCATGTGTGATAATTTGGGTTTTCTATTGTACATCACCTCATATGGTGTCTTATTCACAATACTGGACCAGGTTCTATTTTGAGTGTAATTCGAATAATGTAATGCCTCTGACCAAAATTGTTTGCCTAAACCAGCATCCTCTAATGTGCACCTAATCATGGTTTGTAGTGTGGAATTTTTCCTCTCTGCAACT